GAAGGAAGGAAGGAAGGAAGGAAGGAAGGAAGGAAGGAAGGAAATTTAATGAAGGCAATAAAAGCATGAGTCCTCTCTTTTCGTAAAAACTTCCAGTGTTGAAGCACCACAACTTCTGGAGGCAATTTCTGTTCCACTGATTAATTGTTCTAACTGTCAGGAAATTCCTCCCCAGTTCTAAGTTGCTTCTCTCCTTGATTTCCACCCATTGCTTCTTGTTCTGCCCTCAGGTGCTTCGGAGAATAGTTTGACTCCCTCTTCTTTGTGGCAGCCCCTGAGTTACTGGAAGACTGCTATCCTGTCTCCCCTAGTCCTTCTTTTCATTAAACTAGACATTCCCAGTTCCTGCAACCGTTCTTCATATGTTTTAGTCTCCAATCCCCTAATCCTCTTCGTTGCTCTTCTCTGCACTCTTTCTAGAGTCTCCGCATCTTTTTTACATCGTGGCGACCAAAACTGGACGCAGTAATCCAGGCCTCACCAGTGCAGTATAAAACAGTACCATGACTTCCCATGATCTTGATGCTATCCCTCGTCAGCAGATCCAGATGTTCGCCTAGGAGATCAAGGCTGCCCCACCATCTCACTGCAAAGCTCCAGAACTGCAGAGGACCCGAGTCGGAACCTTAACCTCCATATTCCACAGCCGCCTGGGCAAGCCACAGGGTCTCAACCGCCTGAATATGGGAAGGAACCGAAGAGTCTCATCCAGACCAGGAGCTGAATCGATGCAAAACGGCCTAGGCAGCGAATGGGCTACGCTTAAAAAGCACTTAATGTTATTTTGCTCCTTGGAAATGTCATTTTCTCCGGAAAAAAAACAGCAGGCAGATCAGCATGCCAAAAAAACCAACAACAACTAACCCCAGACTGCATAGTTTAAGGACAGATTTTGTCAGCTGCAAAATGGATGTCCCCTGCTTTGGGTTATTAGCTTGCAAAACAAAATCAAGGTAGCCCAGATCCAGGATCCTTTCAAATTCACATTAGTGTAAGAAAGCGGGGGGAAAAGAGAGGAGAATTTGCTGAAATTAATCATCCCTGCGCCACCTCGAAAGGCTAATGAAAACCTTCAAACCTAAATCAAAGATGAGAGTTATAATATAGAACAGGATCTCTCTGTTTTTAACACTTTTGCAAGCTGTTTTCTGGAGAGTTTCGTCCTGGTCCCTTCTGATCTTTCTAATAGATAATAAAAGAGAGAGAGAGAGAAATGTGTGGTCATTTTTCTTCTCTTCAAAAGCTTTGGTGTCCCTTTGAGATAAATAGAAATATAGGATCTTCAGTGGTCTCTTAGTTTGGTTGTTTTTCCTAAAGGGTTAGGGGTGCAAGGGTCTTGTAACGTGACAGCTTTAAGACTCGCGTGCTTCAAATGCCAGAGTTTCTGAGCCAACATTTTGGTTGCTAAGCAAGAGCGTTGTTAAGTGAGTTTCACCACAGTTTACAAGTTGGCCACGCCCACCCAGTCACATGACTGCCAAGCCACTCCCACCCAGTCACATGGCTGGCAAGCCACTCCCACCCTGTCACGTGGCTGGCAAGCCACTCCCACAAAGCAGGCCACACCCACAGAAGAGTTCTAAAAAAATTTGAAACCCACCACTGTACCTAACCATAAGTTCTTTTTCTCCTAGGAACAATACACACACACACACACAGAGACACACACACAGACACGCAAATGCACGGACACATGCACGCACATATTGTATGGCTCTAGCAGCAGAGTGCAATGCCAATACCAAAGCTATCCTTCCTTCCTTCCTTCCTTCCTTCCATCCCTCCTTCTTTCCTTTCTTTCTTTCTTTCTTTCTCTCTTCCTTCCTTCCCTCTTTCTCCTTCCTCGCTTCATTTATTCATTCATCCTTTTTTTCTCTTCCTCTATTTCCTTCCTTCCCTTCTTTCTTTCTTTCTTTCTTTCTTTCTTTCTTTCTTTCTTTCTTTCTTTCTTTCTTTCTTTCACATATATATTGTATGGATCTTTAGCAGCAGAGTGCAATGCCAATGCATACCAAAACTATCTTTTCTTTTCTTTCTTTCTTTCTTTCTTTCTTTCTTTCTTCTCTTCCTTCCCTCCCTCTTTTCCCTTCCTGGCTTCATTTATTCACCCTTTTCCTTCTCCTTCTCCTTCTCCTTCTCCTTCTCCTTCTCC